TACCGGTAGAGTGATTCTCTTCAAAGTTGCCTAATCGGGTTAGCAAGCTTTCTTTTATAGTCTCGTGGACTATAGGGGAGGGAAATGACCTGTTTGAACCTGGGGGATGCACCAAACATTATGTTGATCATCGTAACACCAACCAGACGATCAACACGCCGTAGCACCTTAACTGGAAATCACAATCTCAATGCCCGCTGGATCAGCATGTGGAACGATTTCCTATGAGAAACAGCACATAACAGGTTACAGTGCCAAATACTATGTGACCTTGTTCAACTGCCTTCACATGGAGTTAAACCGGTATCTTGTAATTTGACCTGTGGAGTGCTAACCACTGCACTATGGATCCACAGGTCAAATATTTTATAATTTTATATAAGCTCAGAATTTATTTTATAGTTAATTTTTTTATAGTAAAATATCATTTATTGATATATAAATTTATATATAAATTTTAAAATCTTTTTTGAAAAAATTTTTTTCAAATAACTTTATGAATCAAATCGTTATTTATTTAATTATAATAAAAAATAGTAGTCCAATTATTTGATCCACACTTTATATTATTGGTTATTTAATTTAATAATTAAACTAATTAAAAAAATAACCCAATAAGTTTATATTAATTAAAGAATAATTAATTTACTGACTTTAATACGTACTTAACATAAAACAAGTTTCTTTTATTACACAGCCTGAATTAAATATTGTCGGTAATCATATTATGACTACTGGTATCCTTTACCGGTCTTAATATGCCCTGTGGCTCACCAGACATAATGAACTTGTTTAGATGAAGAGAGTAACTGACAAATTGCAACAGAATTAGTATCATATTAAAGACACGGATACTCGGAATACATTGTATTAAGTGTTTAATTTTTATGTGAATAAGGTTTTTAATAATCGATCGTAAAACTCATACGCAAAATTCACTGTAACATAAAATTTAGTTATATTTGAACCCAATTAATCTTTAATTGACTATTGAGTTATCGATCCATATATCACTGCCCGTAATTTTGTGCACCATTTGTTAGATAGTCCAGTTCTTCTTTAGTATTCTCCCTGCCTAAACACTTATTTCTATGTGGATACCTCCCAAATCTCTCGATTATTGCTTTATGTTCTTCAGAAGCTTGGAGGGCGCCTTTACAATACTCTGCATAAATCTAGATTTCATTTGTTTAATTTGATTAAAACCATGTATCAATGCATAATACTTTATAGTAGATAGATAATTACTGGTGGGCTGTTATCACGATTCCACTTCATCCTTTCAACACAAAGAATTTGGTTTTGCATATTTTCAGAGTGTTCTAAGGGCTGTTAACGTTGTGATAGATGATAAAAATTAATATAAGGCTATTTTAAAAATAAGATCCCAATTAATCAATTACTATACCAAATACATGAATGCTCTTTCAACGGGATCTAGCATTTCGTCCCATTTAAGTCCTAAGAATTATGACAATCAGTTTATATTTAATTTAATTATATTATTTTTGAAATAAGGAACGAATGTAATAAGCCCACCTAAAGCATATTTACAAGTGTCCAGAGCCAACGGATCGAATTCAAGGAATGGTCTAGCTGTGCCACGGTAAATGTTCCTCGGGAGCTGATCTAAGAGAATTGTTAGGCTTAACGTTCCCTAAAAATTTTGATTTTAATTAAGCGGGATTGAGGTGTTTATATTCTAAACTTTTTTCTAATAAGAAAAATCATAACATATATACGGTATATTATATAAATTCTCAAATACCTCGGGAGTTTTTTTCAATTCCTCAATATGACTTCCATTTTTGATGATATCTTCCAAATCTTGTCCGAAAGAACTCCTACATTCGTTGTCAAATGCCTCATTAACATTGAACCATAACTTTATAAGGGATAGCTCTATCCGTGTGCCTTTAGTATACCCTTTATTGTGGTATAGGAAATGCACACAGGTAAGTGACAAGACATTACTAATGAAGTTAATTAATATCGAAATACCTCTAAACCAGAATGAATGAACTCTTCGCTGTAACTGAGCCGCCGCAGATGACATATTCTTAGATATAAGAGATTTTTTCAACTTCTAAGAAAAGTACTTATATCCACAAATACAGTACTGACTAATGAGCATACATGTTATTATTAATCGATGTATTGTACGTGTGTCTTACTAATTTTGTTTTCCTCTTTGGGATAATATTAATTGCTTATTAATTCAACATACAGTAACATGTTTTTATTAATTAAAAGTTAAAGTTTAATATAATCGTTACATTAATACTCTACTGGATACATGCTCATATCAATAGTTTAATATTTAATATTGAATTTTGGAAATTGGAATTAATACTATTTTTATAACCTTTTACAAGGCTGACATATGGTGTTATTAATATTTAATAAAAAAGAATACATTAGAAAATATAATTAATAATAAGCCAATTTTATATGTTAGCATATTTTTTATTATAATATTCAAAAAATTATTATACTGGTTATTTTATTATGATTATTATTTGTCAAAAAATATTTTTATTTATCTTATGTTTAATTTTTCTTTAATTTTAAATTATTAAAATAAATTGCATAATAAAAATTATATAATATTACTTTTGATTATTACAAACTTATTTGTAAAATTTCAAATTGACATGGTATCAACTTATAATAAATTTAATATATGTGTTGTAACTAGGAATCACAATGATTTGATTTGATTTGGTTTTAGCTAAAACCAAAACTGATCTGATTTTTTTTTTTAAATCAAACCAATCCAAAAACTATCGGTTTTAATTTTTTATAAACCAATTCAATCTGAAAACTATTGGTTTTAATTTTTTATAAACTAAACTAAAACTAATCTGATTTATATAAATATAGTTTTTATTAAATTATTTTATTTTAAATTTAAATTTTAATTACTGTAGTTAAAATTGTTTAGTTGAATTTTTTTAAGTTTATATTTATATATTGGTTTAAGTTATTATATTTTTAATTAATTATTTAATTCAAATTAATATAGTTTATATTTTTAAAAATAAAAAATAAATTTAAACAACATTGGTTAATTTATTATATAATAAAA